GGGGGAGGATAGGTGGCTGAGCCATGTGTGGGAGGGAGGGGCTGGTTCGCTAGGCAAGCAGGGTGAGGGTCAATTAATTTCGGAGCGCCTCACGACTGCATGCTTCCCCAGCCTGAAGAGGGGGGGGGGGTTAGGGAAATACTGGCTGGGTGGAGGGAGTCAAATAATCTACAGCAACGCAACTCGTCAACATAATAGCATTCTCACAATGCTGACATGCTAATATTTTGATGTGTAGCATGTTAGCCATTTTAGTTAAGCATGTTAGCATGCTAACATTTGCTAATTAGCACTACACTCAAATTAAAGCTGAGGCTGAAGGGAATGTCATCAATGTCTTTGGAAAATGTTGTGCCTTACATCCAGTAGATGTTAAGATATTTCACAGGATAAATTTACCTTGCTGTGGCGCTAAAAGAAAAGTCAGGGGATCACCAAATTCAGTAGGATTTATCTTCTGGGGAACATGAATCTCTGTGGAAAATGGTATGTCAATGAATCCACCAAATAGTTAAGTAATTTTCGACTGGACCAAAGTTGAGGACAGACCAACATTGCTACCCCTACAGCCATGTTGTCTAAAAAAAAGAAGATACTGGAGGTCGAGGTTTAGGAGGAGGAGGGAGGGTTAAGAGAGAAAATATGGAGGAGCTGGACGGAGGGCTGAGGAGCAGAGAAGTGGACAACAAGGATGATTGATGAGGTGGGGAGGGGAAGAGGAGAGCTTTGATGGCCGTGGGGGGGGGGGGGAAAGACCGTCTGAAGAGGCTCAGAGTGCAGATCAGCTGTCTGCAGTCATGAGCCTGCCAGCCGGCACCATTACCTCATCTGCCCTGAGAAGAGGAGCTCAACAAAGAAAAGCCGAAGGCCCGGCCTCAGCTATACAGTGGACACTATTGTAAGAACTAGATCTTGTATTACTGCTTTATGATCTCCCTAAACAATCCCTCTTTTGGTAAGACAACTATGCAACATGCAGTAAAAAGACTCCCCAAAGTACTCTTCAATCTCACTTTTTTAAAAGCCCACATGTAGGTGGTCAGTCTTGCAATGAAAGCACATTTTTTTGGCAAGAGCCACTTCTTTGTTGGTCACGGATCCCACAAAATCTCAACAAACCATCTTAGGTTTAAAGTCTGTTGATATTCTGTAATTTTCTTCTTCTCAATCCCACATACAGTCCTCTTGCTACAAGTCCTCACTGGAGCGCCTAATGTGGATTAATCCACAGCTGAAAGTAGTCCCTAACAAATGCACCATTTACTCCAGATTGAGTGTTTTATAGGAATAATTTTGACAGTTTTGGAAATATACTTAGAATAGATGAGAAGGTGGATATCTCCCTTAAAGCTGTGACGCCAGCAGCTAGTTAGCTTAGCATAAAGACTGGAAACAGCTAGCCTGGCTGACTGGTATAACTCCCAGTAAAACCACCAAAACATGTCATTTTTACACTTTGGTTTTAGTGAGGATTAAACAAAACTAGATACAATTTGTTTATTAGTGAGCTTTCGTCAGAACCAGGCTGGTCTGTTTCCAGTCTTTGTGCTAAGATAAGTTAACTAGCCGTAGCGTCATACTTCTGTACAGCTGTGAGAGTAGTTCTGATTCTCTCATCCAAGTCTTGACAAGAAAGTGAATGAAAGCAAACATTGTTTTAGGAAATTGTCGAGCTTTTGTTTTAAAAAAAAACAAAAAAAAAAAACAAGTTTATAAAGATTTACTTCTTCAGTGGGAACCAGTTATTTTCGGGCTGAGAGCCACAGACAGTGAGCACAAACACCCGCTGGCACAATGAATCAAACTTGCACGCTAAGGTACTAATGCGATAAGTATTGCGAAACCATGACTCTATTAGACCACAGTCCACTGCCGTTTCAAATATTACACCTCATAATGCGTCGGCTTTGGGAGGCTCATTCCTAACCGGGTGACCGCAGCGGAAACATTGATTTCAGCAGCATTTAAAAGAAGATTTGTTCTTATAATATCTGACGTTTAACTAATTTTGACTGTTTTCTTACTTTTAAACTTGTCAACCAGTCCAAGTCAGGGAAATTAGTCCTTTTGTGGGATTTGTTGACAAAAAAAACAAAAAAACAGAGTAACACCTTCCTGATCCTTTAAAAAAAGAAAAAAGATCAACACATGAGTGGTGATAGTGTTTGAGACATTTTGTAGGGCAGACTTAACTGGAAAAAAACAAACTCAAACGTGTGAGCAGGAACATGTTTGTAGGGCAGACTTATCTGGTAAAAAAATAAATACATTTACAGGAATGGACGAGCAGAAATTCTTCAGAAGAGTGGCTGTTTGCCTGAGGGAGTTGGCTCCGAGTTACAGGAGATGCCGTCGCCTCACTCAACTTCTCTAATGAAGCTGCTCACATCTCACAGCATCCAGTCAGGCTGTGCAGGCTGCATAAAGTGCAAAGTTTTTCGCAAAAACACTATCAGAGCAGCAAAAGTGAGGCAAAACAATGAGCCAATAGACACAAAATGCTTTGTGGATCTGAAGGGAACTGCGTATTTGAGTGATTTTTTTCACTACAAGTGATCAAGTCATGTGATCCATTATTGATATCAAAATCTTGACCATATCACCTTAAATTACTGTGGTGCCATATTTTCTAATCAATCATGTACAGTATAGAGCACAAAACACAAAGTAAGTGGTTTATTTTAAAAACTCAGTGAATACAGAAACAGTCTGCTTCTTAATGCCTCATAATGGCTCGTAATGTTCTCTTCCTGTTGTAAATGGGCGCTCTGTTGAGGAAACACAGCACGGTCGTTGTTAACATGTCACACCTCGAGTATGAACTCTTTACATTTTACACGCCTCAAGTGAATGCATGACTGGACGTTAGAAGATTTTTATGCTCCACAAATAACAATTAGCTGCCCCGGGGTGCATGAGGCTCCGGTCACCGATGCTTGCCGACAGGATGTGCAAGTCAGCTGAGTGCGTGTGTGTGTTTTGAGACAAGGGTTGGTGAAGTGAAGCTGCACCATGTGACTAGCAGCATGAAGATACTGGAGGGATCTGACCTCTTTGAGAACAAGCATATTTTTTTACTTAAACTGAAACCAATCACGATGTTTTCTGTTTGACATGAAACTAACGAAAATGTCAGACCCTTAACTTATAGGCGTTGAACAGAAGTCCAAAACGTGAAATGGAGAAACCAAACGCGATGTTTACATGAAGGTAAAAAGGACAATCTGCTGGTCATCATTAGTGAAAATAGAAGACTCACCTTGTCGGTCAGGTTCTCTCCCTTCTCAAACATCAACTTGAGGCTGTTGAGGGGGATACTGGGCATCTCAGAGTCGTATACTTCAGCTGCTGTTGCTCCCTCCCGCTCCTCTGAATCTCTGCTGGGCTTCTCCATGTCGGTCAGATCCTCGTGTTCAGCAGAACGCAGCTGGCTGGTGCTCATCTCACTGGTCTCAGAGTGAAGCAGCGTCTTCGGCTCAGTATCCTGGTCTTGTGACAGTGTGATGGTTTTAGAGGCGTCTGGCTGGTTCTCAATCTGTGATGTGGGTGTAGGTTTGGGGCCTGTTGGTTGGCTGATGTGGCTCCGAGGGTCAGCTGGGATGCAGGCTTGAGGTTGGGGTCTGTGGCTGGATGGCTGCTGCTGCTCCCAACGTTTCTTTAAAGCACTCAGATTCCCACTGCGCAGTGTGGAGGGAAGAGTTTCTGCAACCTGCTGAGAAAAATGAAAAATAAAAGCACTTCACACTTAGTGATCAACACTTTGACATCCCCAGTCTGTGGCTATCAGCTCCAAACACATTGGTTCCTACTGCAGACCTAAATGTCTCTCAAATAATGTTATTCATTTTTCAAAACAGTTGGTCACTGCAATTTTAAGCAAACAGAAGAAAATATTGGGTTTGTTGAGGACTATTTTAAGCAGGAGCAAGTATGTCAGGCAGCAGGACGGTGTATGTACGACTGGAACTAACAATTATTTTCATTATCAATTAATCTGCTCAGGGTTTGTCGTTGAAATGTCAGAAAAACATCGCCCATAATATTCTGGAAACGCAAGTAATCAGTCCAAAGATATTTAGTTGCAATTTGGAAGATCTCGTTTGTCTTTGAAGGAACCTATAGGGATAAGCGGTAATTGCAGGGTAAGTTTGTATTAAAAATCGAATTTCCCCAATTGTACGCCGCTTGCGTTTTTCCCACCGGAAATGTCCCCACAGACACCTAGTTCACAATAATGGAAATGCAAGCGCTTTCATCAGTGGACCATAGCCTCAATCACCATTGTGTAACCTTCTTCGGTGATACATACCGACTTCTCTTTAAATGAAAATCTTTGAGCTTACTTACAAACTATCACACATAAGCAAAAGGAAAAGCATACAACTTTTACATTTGAGAAGCTGGAGCCATTTTTTCTAAAAATGTCAAAGTTAATCAACTAATAATTTCAGCTCCAATGCAACAGGTTGTAGATCTAAAAAAGGCCTTTAACTTATGTTGGTGGCAATATATTCAGATTAATTTAAGCATAAAAGTTAATTGTCTGTAATATATCCGAAAAGTGAAAACAATCAAAAACCCAAGATAGACTCCGTTATCTTTCACATTTAGGAAAAGAGTTTGCTTAATCGATTAGTCAGATGTCCTCTCATGCAGAATAGGAGCATTTAACAAAGAATTTGGCTGCATGAGTATTTAAACAGAGTAGTGGGAAGGCAGAAGATAAACTGCCAGCAACACAAATGGCACACACCAACAGGATGACTCACTATTTCTGTTAAAGCTTTGGCAGAGAACACAAACACTTTTAGTTCGTTCAATGAATTCCATCAATGTTGGAGTGACACCACCTGGTCCTCAAGACTGCTGAATGAAGCTAAAAACACCAACTATAACACTGTTACACACACACGTTAAACTACACGTTAGCATTCATGCAAGCAAACACTTTCAGCTATGAAAGACAGAAGGAAGGAGACAGACAAAGAGCTGCTCAGCATGCAAGTCTCTAAACCTGAAACTGCAGGACACAGAACAAAAAGCTGGAAAAACCCACCAAAGTAAAGTAGCGAGTTAAAAACCTGAGAGAGACGCTGAAGACCCGGCTGTCCAGTTGGCGTTGTGCGTTTGAAATGTATGCGTGTGTCGAGTGTGTCTGCTGGCCGGCTACAAGCTGTCCCAGATGTGAACGCCTTGAGAAGTGATCAGAGCAGCATGAAGTAACTAGCCCACCCCCCTCCTACAGAGGGAAGGAAGGAAGGAGGGAAGGAAACAGAGAGGGAGTGGACTGAATGAGGGCGTTAGGGGCGGGGAGGGAGAGAAAATCAGAAACGGAGACAGTCAGTGAGGGAAAATAAGTCCAGGAAATGAGAAGGTAAAAGGAGAGCATGCTCGAAAAAAATGAAATCTTCCACAAAGAACTGCAGAGAGCAGAAACCTGGATAAACAACAAGGTTCTGATAAGCCTTCTTTGCATCTCTATCTGATGTTTATTTTAGGGATTGGAGTCGACAGCATCACCTTCAACTACCTTTCCCATTTCTACTCTTTACTTTTTCTGTGGTGAGGAATGCTACAGAACACTTATTTCAGGAACCCAGTTCAAAAATAAACATGACAAAATTGCAGTCAAACATTCTGCATTAAAAATGACTGGGAGGTAACCAGCAACACAAGAAGACAGTAAATTTGCATGTTGGCGTGTAAATATTTGCTAGTACTTAAGATAAAGTACAGCTGAGGCACCAAATTGAGATTTTGACCTGATGATGGCACCAGAGGAAAAGTCATGGGATCAAATCCTTAGGATTCATCTTGAGGGGAAGATGAATGTCAGAACCAAACTTCATGACAATAAATTCAGTAGTTGTTGGGAGATTTGACTCAAAACCACCAATGTGAACTTCATGGTGGCACTGAAGGAAACCGCAGAGGATCAGTGGAGTTTCAAATGTCCTTTAACAGAAATAAGGCAATAAAAAAAAAAAACAAAGAGCTGCAACAACCAATGTTTCAGAGAGGAAAAAGCAAAATGCATAGCTGAGATTGTAGACGGCATCCAACAAGCCTTCCCACACAGATCAGGTGGGACCAAGGCGTCTTGCGACCACCGCTGCATGACAGCAGATGCCAATACGCCTCACCAACTTTTGCCGCTGTGTATGTGGAGATGCTGAACAAGACGTTTAAGATTAATGTCTCAAAATAAAGGTTTTCTAGCCTTAAATTGCAGAGAAGGAGCAGTGTTGGAAAGTAACAAAGTAGATTTACTCAAGTCTTGTACTTCCATTTTCAGCTACTGTATACTTTTACTTCACTACAGTTCAGAAGGACACATATTGTACTTTTTACTCCACTACAATTATCTGAAAGCTATAGTTACCAGCTACTTTGATTTTACATACAAAACTCCTGATCAATCTATAAAATATGCTGCATTATTATTAAATGACAGGCGCTGCGTGCCCACACAAGTGTGTTATGGCTGGTTAGATGTTGTAAGGTTGGACACAGATCACAAATCTCCATGCACTAATAAAAAGGATTAAGTTGCAGCTTGTCTTGAAAAACACCAACAGGAGCGTGAGGACGTTAAATCAAGCCTTGTCTGTGCATGCCCACTGAGAAGGAAAAAAATAACTGGTGAAAAATGAAAAACAACAGTGCGGGTGCATGGACCCATCAGTGTGCAAGGTCTTTCAACTAACGGCTCATGAAGTAGCTCAAATTAAGTCCAGCATGGGAATTGCCGTTAGTCTGATTTACCTTTTAAAACACTACGGTTCCCTTTGTGCAGTTTTGCTATGCGTTTTTATGCAGGTGCTTGTATGAACATTTTGCACTACCTTTTGTGTAAATGAGGCTTAAAATTAGATTATCCAGGCTAAATAAAACAAAACAAAAATTGCCCACTCACTGTTAGAGGAAGTGTAAGGGGTCATATCCACATCTAAAAGGCCTGTTCTACTTTTTTGCCAGTGTACAGAGATGGCACTATTCATTTTGGCTTCCTGACATTACTTCTTGAAAAGCCTGAATTCAACAGAACAAATTTCACATTTGTTTACAATGACATCATTTTCCTCTCGTGCCCTCTTGGTAGAAAAAAAAAAAAAAAAGCCTAATTTCCTCCAAAACCTGCATGGACTCCGGATTTAGGGCTTTAACAAGCTACATCCAAAAAAACAAAAAAAAAAAAAAAACAAATATACACAATGCCAGACCATCTGTAGTCGTACCCACACCAGTGAAATTCCAAAACAAAAACAACACTTTGAGCTAGTTTTAAGAAGTTAAACGGGTCATTAATTCCCTCTTTGTATTGCTATGAAAACATCTCCTTCAACAACTGCCTTCATTCGCCTAAAAACTAAATTTGAACACATAATTTACCTTCACCCAGTACTCCTTTTAACTGAATAAAAGATTGAACATATAATGAAACTCAATGCAACTTTTACTTGAGTGAAGTATCTGAACACTTCTTCCACTACTGTGAAGGAGTGAATCCTGACATATTTCACGTTGAATAAGTTACCTACCGCTTTCTTCTTCTCTGCATTTCCCTCCTCTGCTGCCATCTGGTACCTGAGGAGGAGGACGTTGGGAGTGAATGGGAGAACATTTATGGAGATCCCATTATCAGAAACTGCTGGTCCAAACACCCAGGAAACTAATATGAAATATCTCTGGCCTCTCAAAAAACATTAGATGATTTCATGCATGGAAAATATTCGGCCCACCTCACAGGAAGTCACTTGGTCACTTCCTGTGAGGTGACAGAGGAAGTTACAAGTAGATTTCATGTTTTGTTTCGCCTCCGCTTCTGATGTAAAGACAGATAATCTAGACCTTGTCTTAAAACAGTCTTGTCAAATTGTTTAGTCAAGAGATCTGAAGAGGGGAAAAGAAAAGTATTTCACAAGACAGGAGCAAATATATATTTTTTTTTCATTGTGCGACTCAACAAAACATGTTAAATACAAGTGTATTTTAGGAATATGTCAGTATGTCGCAGGTTTATCCATTCTTAAAATGTGGATTAGTGACAAAAACTAAATTGAACCATGTCACACAGTTGATGGAACAAAAAAATATTGTAAACTGTTCATTATTTTTTTTTGCCCTCAAACAGAGCAGTACTATCCCCTAGTGGTCAGACGGAGAAAGTACAGAGAGTAAACATCCTACCACGCAACCACCTTCTCAATCCACAAATGAGGAACTTGATACGTGCAACAGGTAAAAGAGGCAAGCCATGAATGTTGGTGCACTTACAGTAATCTAAAAGTCTGCGATACCCAAAAATGACACAACTGGAGTAACTGGTTAAAGCCGATGGCGTGATTAATTTACAGAAAAGAGGAAACTGAAAACAGCTGAGTGGCAAGAAAGTGTTGTGCGGAAGAACCTTGACCTCATTTCTGAAGTGAGGGATAAAAAAATAAAGTCTTATCTGCTGAGTGGCTGCTGGTGAATTATTAATTATATCCGCGGTGGAAGCCAGAGGGGAAGAGTGAGCGAAGGTTAGACTTACTTAGAGAAGCGTTCTGCAATGGCGTTGTTTTTCCCCCGGGCAGAGACGATGGACATCTCCTTGGCGGTGACCCTCAGAGACTGGGACGCCCACTGTCTGCGGCTGAATGGAGCGGTGGAGGCCATCTTTGCTAAACGTCTGAGCAATCAATTTGTCTTGTCAGCTTTCCAGAAACACACGTCGTAACTCTGAGAGGACACACACAAAAAAAGAGCTTATTGAGCCGGATGAAAACAAGTCAAATAATCACATTATTCAGTACTGCTGTTAAACTCTTGATCGTAGTTCCTTCTCTGCAGTTTTGCAGCTCTAAAACTGGAGAGTTAAAGGTGAAAGGAACACCCTTCTTGTACATTTAAATTTTGATGACACTTCCCTTCTCATGCTGCTAGATAAATGTAATACTTGCCCCTTATCTTGACACATGTGCGTAGTTAAACACAGCTCAGCTCAGACAGGCCTGGCTTTTACATCATTACAAAACATCACCAAGAGATCAATATATTGTTGCCAGACTCCACATTTGACTGTTTGTCGCCATCACTGCAGCATGGACCAGCCCCAGTGTTTGAGTCAGAAAGTCAATAGAGCGCGTCACACAGCCATCAACCATCTGTTCCCTGTGCGACTGTGCTTTGACTGAGCCTTGAGGGAGACTACCAGCAGACAAGACAACTGATATGCCTGCATCACACAAACACCCTCTGCATACACACTTACAGGCACGACTCTACGTGCTTCTGCAACTTCACAGCCTCAAGGCTGAGGGCAAGCAGACACACGCAGCAGCACCATCAGTTTACAATAAATAACTGTCAGCCGTGAGTTATACATGCTCCGGACGAATTAAACAATGAGGTCAATGAGAGGGGCGGAGATGGCAGAGCCTCCAGGGTCTCTATACGTCACCCAGCAGGTGGACTATTGAGATGTTGTTGTGGCTCGTTAATTCCTAGAACACGGTCTGCTTTATGTTAAATATTCCACCGCCATCAGAGCTCCTCGGTAAGGGTTGCTTGCCATTTTGAGAAATTGGCAGCATATAAAGTGAGTGCCAGTGATGGCAGAATGTACGAAAATAGGGACAGCAAACACGCACCCCAAAATACATACATTTTGTTGCATTAGTGAGATTGCAATATTGCTTTCAAAGTCAGAACTGGAACCAGACAATGCTGCAAATTAAGTTGTTTAAGAACATTCTTAATAACCCATCAAAATCATAAACAATTATGAAATTATTTTTAACTGACAAAAGAAGCAGATGACCCAACAATGTTTGGTATTCTTGCTTTAAAAATGGCTTCAATAATTAATCAAATATCACACGCACACTGTGGGATGTTGCCCAATTACTTGTTGCTTCATTTACTCCAATCAAATTTTTTATCTGATGAAAACAGCAATTTAGCTTCATAAATGAATTGAAACAAAAATCGATTCCCAACTGTTTCTATCGGACTGTTGATCAACTAATTTATTATACAACTGATCGTTTCAGCTCTAGCAAACTTTCCATGTACCAGAGTCCTCTCAAACTCACATCATCGACACGCCCAGGATCACAAATGATCCGCTACCAGGTCGAATACAAAATGAACGAGGACAGTGACTCTGTCCAGACAAAAGTCTCCTCTGTCACAAGGTTTAGATTACAAACAAAGCAGCACGTAAAACAGACGCATGCAAACTTTTAAAGTCATGTGTCAAAGGCAACAAAAGGACCACAGTATCAGCAACTATTAACCCCATTAACTATTAACCCCCAACCTCATTTTAATATTAATGAAAGTGAAAAGAATCATGGATATTTGATTTCAAGCTTCAGAGAAACATACAGTTAAATAAAAAATAGCTTAACTTGACTGGTTTCCTCACCTACCTGTGTGACTATCACAGCTGTTTTACTCCCTGAGGTGGGTTTCAGATGTCAGCTACTTGTCTCTCTCCTTCTCTTTTTTTACTCCTCAGCTGCTGCCACCAGTGCTTTTGAGTAGACAGGGAAGAAGGAGGCGTTCCCAACACTCCCATTTAACTCCCACCAGCCTATTCAATAATGAAGCAGCACTAACCTCCACCTGGCAGGTACGAGCTCTCTCCCTCCTCGTCCAATCAGCAGCGTTCAGTGTGAGCAGCCTGGAGGTATGTGAGACGAGCAGCCAACATAGCAGACAAGCAGCAGGGAGGAGGGGGAGGAGGACTGGGAGGAGGGAGGAGGGGGGAGGGGGGATCCCACACTGGATTCCTGGAAGTTGAGTGAATTACAGAGACTGACTGCCTACTTTCTCACAAGGTCAAGACTTCAGAGGATGTGACTCATTCACAATACTGCATGACGACTCTCAAACAAGGGGGAGTGGGGATTTTTTTTTTGTTTTGTTGTCTTTTCAAGGCTTTAACTATGTGGTAACGTTAGCCTTTAACTTCTGGCAATCGCGTTTATGCTCCATAAATCACAAAAGTGGTCATTTGTGAAGATTATCTTACTGAACAAAATGTGTATTATTGCAACAACAAAGAAAGCAACCTCTGTGGTAAATACGTTAAGGAGAGTTTACTAATGAAGACATTTCCAGTTTTGATTTGAGACTTGGACTGGTCCACTCTGCGTCTCATCCTCTGTTTGAACTTCTCCTCACCTGTTTTTCCCTTCTAATCTTTTATAAAATGTTCTTCAATTGTCATTAGTATTTACAAATATTTTTACATATTTGATTGATTCTTTTTAACGATTTTTTTTTAATCAATAACTGATGTTAATAGTCACAGGTGTCTGAGTTGTGCCTCCTCTTCTCTTGGGTTGTTGCTGCCTGTGACTTTAAAGATGCTGTTGTTTCAGTCCAAGACCTCAAAATATTCAATTTACTTTAATTTAAAGGAAAGGATGTAGCAAAGTCTCACATAAGAAGCCAAAATATTTTGTGTTTTTTCTTAAACAAATCAATTATCAAATAGCTGCAGATTATTTTCTGTCAACCAATAGTTCTACAGACATTTGTCATTTACAATCTTAAAATACCTTCTCCTTCTATACTCCCTTTTACCACCATGTTTGAGGTGTTTACATTGAGGTCCTCTGGGATAATTAAGTCTTTTGTGGTGGTACTAAAGACTTTCAGCTGCATCAGAGTCACGTTAACGGTCAGTCAGTCTAATCCCAAACACATCATGGCTGCAGAGAGGGCCCGGCCTCATCTCACTTCAGAAAATCACATCAATTGCGACTTTTAAAAAGCGAATGTTTGTTTTATGTTCAGTACGGTATTTATGGCTGGGAGGTGTAGATACAAACAAGAGTTACATGAATACAGTGCATGGATATAGTTCAATTATGGGAATACTTTGAATCAAAACATGCCATAAGACCTAGTATTGTTTTTTGTGTGTATTTCCCCCCCAAAAATGGACTGTTAAAAGTCACGATATTGAATATTGAACGGTATTTTATATTGAAATTATGAAAAGAAAAAAAATCCCTAAAACCACAGATTTAGATTTTTTGTCCAAGAGGGATATTTGATTTCACAGCCAGACCAGGTTTAATGTAGACTACACAATGAGCTAAGCTGATGAATACACAAAGCCACAGCGCATGCAGGGACTCGCTCATCAGATGTGAAATCATCTGCAGATCATCGTCTGTGTCGTGACTCACGGTGTCATACGGAAAGAGAAAGGATGAGTCCTCTCTTACTGTCCATCCTGTCATCTGTTTAATCACAGAAACCAGTTTCTCGCCATCAATGTTTCATAACTTGCTGACAGGTGTAGTAATACATTAAAAGATACAGACTACTGACATATTCCCACACAAATAGAAATATTTTGGTACATTTTTATTAATAATCTCAATTTGCAAAGTGACTGATATGATCAAATAAATGAGGTTGAAAGTACAATAGTAGTAGTAGTAGTAGAAATATAACGTAGTACCTAAAATTGTACTTGTACTTAAGGAGCACAAACATCAGACAGGTTGTCCTGTCCTGAGACTACAGCTCAGGTGAACACTGACTCACCATTTTGTCTCGACACGACCGCTCTGAACTAAGGTAAGTCTTGTTAACGCATGTTTTGTCCTCTTTACAATTACTTCATTTTTGCCCAAGTTGTACTTCATCATGGCTCATACTCACCTGGGCTGTGTCAGGTAGTTTGTTAGGGACTTTCACACTTCAGACAGTTATCATCCGTCTGAGAGGAGAGGCTGCGATACAGCAGTTCACACAAAATGATCCATTCGTGTACAGGATTAATACCTGAACTAAACTGTGGGCATTTATTGGCTGGATTTTACAGCTGTTTTACAAGTAAAAGTCCTGCTTTCAAAATCCTTCATAACTAATCGTGCTGAAGTGTTATCAAGCAAAGTAAACTAAATCATCAAAGGTAGCCTATACTTGCTTCTGCAGAAAACTGCCCCCTGTGAGTGTTATCATTAGGTATTAATACTGATTCATCAATACGCAGCATTTTACTATTAAAGTTAATCAACATATGCATTAAAGTGTTTTGCTATGTAATCGTAACTAAAGCTGTAAATACATTTAGTGGAAGTATTTACCTCTGAAATGTAGTGGAGTAGAAAAATGAAGTAAAATAAAAACACTTGAATAGCGCACAAGCACCTCCAAATTGTACTTGTACTTGTACTTGGATTAAATGTACTTGGTCACTGCTGATATTGCAGTTTGTGTTGTACTTTAACAAAATAAGAGTCTCTACTTCATCAACTTGGGATCTTACAGAAATGTATAATGGCCTGTTCATACTTTAGTACTACAACATCTCATATTACTCCCTTTATATATTCAGTTTTCAGTTGACAGTAATTTTTGGACAATCATGGTTTGTTCAAAATGATACTTTAGACCAGCAGGTGGTGTAGTAGCAATACAACTAAAGTTGATACCAGGTAATTATGTAATGTTCCTGTTAAGCCACTAGAAGGAAGGCAAGAACAACTGTTTGCCAGACATCTGTGATAAAGTCTATCTATCTATCTATCTATCTATCTATCTGTCTGTCTGTCTGTCTGTCTGTCTGTCTGTATATCTATATATCTATAGATAGATATAATGACTAAGTGGGTAAAGGCAATAATAGAACAGTCTGATAAGTTGACAAGATCATTTGACCATAACCTTTAAAACCAGGAAAAGACAACACTTTGTTGTACTACGATATCCAAAATCAAGTGTCATATCACAATATCGATATATTATAATAATAATAATACATTTTATTTATAGAGCGCTTTTCAGAGTACTCAAAGACACTTTACATTAAAATCTTCATATATAAAAGCAATACACTAAAAACATAACATACACAGTAATGGTCACACATTAAAAGCAGTTTTGAAAAGGTGGGTTTTGATTTGGGATTTGAATATGGAAAGGTCAGTGCAGTCTTGGATTATCTATATATTTCTCAGCCCCAGTCATGAAATTGTAAAATAGTATATCCAGAATAAACAGCTGGATGTATGACATGTACAGTAGATATATACAGTTCCACATGTAACTGTAAATACTTTATTATCTCTTGCTATGAACATCAAGACACTTAAGTATACTGAAGTCTTCATGTTTATTTTGTCTTACAAAAATTAAAAATTAGGAAATTTACGAGCCGAGTGGAAAGAAGAGTCGGGGGCAGTTGGAGATAAAAACACCGTAAAGGAAGGTCAGACATTTTTGTGGGACAAGTTTTAAACAATCCTCAGATGTCTCTCTGCAGCAAAGGAATTTCATACATGTGTGGAGGCGAACACACACGTCTTTACATTAGACCAGTGTTAATATAGACTACAGAGGTATATCATAAAGGAACAATTAGACTCTGGCAGATAAATCAGCCAAATATTAGCTTAGCACAGACATCTATATATATATATATATGTCCATAACTAACGAAAAGTTGCAGTAATTTAGAAACAGTCTTTCTTACATATTTTGTCCACCAGAGAGCACTGATACATTTTTATTACAGCTGTGAAACTTCACACTCTCTCCTTTATGGGTTTATATCAAAAAAGCAAATATCCACATATACATTGTTATCAGATTGTGTCAGCCTCAAAAGTATTTCTCAAAGGGGCTCTGCTCAAAAGTTCTGTAGTTGTATTAACTTATATTGATATTATATATCTCCAACAAAACAAATTGATACATGTATTCTGTGCATGACAATACATCAGCACATCTCTGTTCAAATGTGGAAACGCATAAGTAAGTCTGTTACCGTATGTGCATGCACGTGTTTGTGCACATTTCACAGTGCATGTACAGTTAAGGACCTTGACATCAAAGAGCAAATGGTTGTGTCCACATAAAGACATGGAGGACCGCCAACCAACTGACATGCACACATACTCCCATGTGGAAAAAGAAAAATGCAGGGTTGTTTTTCACACCGACAACCTAGTTTGGAGGGGAAGGACGTTACTACTCCACCTCTGCTGTGATTGGAAGAACAAACATGGGTGGAATTTGCACATGGCTTGAATTTGGAGTTTTGGGATCTTTTTCTTTCCAGGGTGCAGGAAACATCTCAGCAAATGTCAGTTAAGTTGAGAGCCAAACGAAACGGATAGACAGGGTGTCCCATGGTTTGATCCAGAGCAGTCTGAGTCTGATTGTGTGAATAGTTGTAACCTGTAACACAGTGTCTTTGGGTAAACCTGTAAACGTTTTTCACCTAATTATTGTGTTTGTGCTCGCTAAGAAGACCACATACTGTGCTTGTCATGTGACTGTGTACTGTACATCCACATTGTGCTTGATAGATGTTTGCACTAACTTAAGTAAGAGTAGCAATACCAGACTGTGAAAATACTCTTACAAGTAAAAGACCTAGATTTAAAACCTTATTTGAGTAAAAAATCAGCTCTGTTTTCAGCTTTGTGACAACGCATTTGATAGCTGATCCAAAAGGCCAAAAGAGTTTTTGAAGAAGTAGGGTTAGGGTTAGGGGTTCATTTTTCTCAACACTTTATTG